TTTTTTTTTTTATTATTCATAATTTTTTTCTCAACCATATGCTGTTAGAACATTAAGGATAAAAATACTCACAGAAAGTTAACACTTTCCTCCCTCTGCTCAAACGCGCTACATAAAACATCAAAGGGTGAAAACTGCTCAGCAACAAAGGGCAGTGATTGCACTCACTCTATGTGATGGACATTTTCTCCACCTTTCTGCCACACGTAGGTCATGTTGGGGGGGTCGGCCACCGCTTGGCACCGTAGAAGTGCATTCTGCGACATGTTGAGAGAGGTGCTTTTGGGAGGGACAACAATGACAGGCGGACCTAGTGGGAGGCAGATTACAAAAAACATATATTCACAAAAATGGCAGTGATTAACAATAATTTACACAATTACAGAAAATAGCTCAAAAACATCTTTCACACTTCCATCATGATCAACAGCAGTGTATAATATTCGTTTTTCTCAATTGCTTAAGCCCATTTTCTAAAAACACTGTTGCACCTCTGAAAGATTAAGTGTAATCACCATTTTATATCACAACACGTTATTTTTCCTGCTGGCTCACTCAAAACATTTAACTCATGTCAAAAGCAAATAACTTCATCTGCAAGTGTATCGCGGCCTTCAAAATGACATGTGTCTTTATCATTGCTCAAGTCAAGACAGTCAAATGCCTGAGGAACTGTCAGTGCGGCAGAAGACACTAAAACTGTGTTTCTTTGTGTTATCTGTCAGAGAGATTTCAAGCTAATAATAATGAAAAAATATCTCCGAAACCCAAATAAATATACTGCTATTATACAAACACTGGTTTCAACAATCTATTCACAGGCACTGCCAGCGTTCACCCTTCTTGCCCCTGTTCACAGTAAGCACCTTTTATATGTGTTAGCAGAAAGACCAGAGAGAACAAACGGGAGAGCACTGAGAGAGCTACAGAGTGGAAAATGGGAAAATATACTGAAAGACTCACAATCGATTCATACAAATAGAAGACACGCCGTATATTATTCCAGCTTAATGTCTTACATTGTTCCTATGATTCTCATTTTAACCTGTACCCATCAGTATCTTCTAAACGTCCAAGATGCAATAAAGAGGAAACAGATTTGTTTTCATATGCTATGGACCTGTGTGAGATTGGAGAGCTATTACAGTAGAAATCAATACATCAACAGCTGAGTAACATACTACATAGAGACTTTGAGTCTCAAGTGTGGCTCTTTTGGGGGATTACAATACGTTGTCTTACAGTGGTTTAGGTCTGTCTCCGAGTATAATTGTCTTACTTGCTAAGACAGCAGCTAAGAAATATGTTACCGCGATCGAAGTCTGACTCACCCACCACACAACAGCAACAGTGGAATGAACTCTTACCATGCTGTACCTCAGAGAAAATCATGTGTAGAGTGTAGGGGATGATGGAAATGTCCTGAAAATCTGGGGTTCTGTGATACAACATATTCCCACAACTGATGTAAGTTAGGGGTCGAAGCAAAAAAATAAGAGGATGAGAAATTAAGCATGAGCTGTGCCAGATGGTGGGTTGCACAGGTTATAGGGAATGTAAATTAATGAAGAAAGGGGGAAAAAAACATGTTAAATATATAACTATGACAAATGCATCTAAAATAGAAACAATTTGAATTGTAATGTAAATCCCCCTCTGCACCTCATTGGCTATGCAAACACTCCTGTCTATCTGGTCACACTATTTTTTATGTGACGTTAAAAGTGTAAAATACACAAAACAATATTTTACTATGATGCATCTGTCTCTGCTGGCCCAAACTCATTACATACAGTCTATTCTGATATATTCGAGGGCCCCGTTGTCCCTCTCTGGTGTCTGTCTGGTCCATATTCAGTGACAAGTACAAAGGCCTCAGTTTTGCCCTAAAGATTGAAGACGTTGACACCTGAATCTGAAGACTCACCTATCAGTTCTTATCAGTTCTTGTGGCATTACTGTAAGATTCCTGAAAATATGAAATACTTATGCTTGAAAGATTATCACGGCTGGGTGCAATGTTAAGCACAGGAGGATACAATGAGCATGTTGATGAGTGTGCTTGAGAGTCATACAAACTGAGGAAAAAATCAATGCATCACTGAGTTAAGCAAGAAGAAACACATATAGTGTTGTGAGAAAATGAGCTGTGGATTTGAGAATTTGCCGGCCGCGTGATGAGCATTTTGATTTTCATTTGACGATTATGCCAAAGCAACCGAGAGAAGCCGTCAATATACCTGAGATCCCGTGCTGTCAAACATTCCTATGTAATTTCCTGGGAAACTAATCACATACAGATACTGCAGCCTGTTGCGAAAATGTCACATTTATCTCTTCCCTCTACCGTTCCCATCACGTGTTCTATTTGCAAAGAGCTAATAAAGCAGGCTTGATGTGCCGCATGTCTTATGTATAAATAACCACATGATCTCTACAGCAGCCATTACTGCTCAAGTTTAGAGCCTTA